CGTAGTAGTAGTAGTAGTAGTAGTAGTACTAGTAGTAGTAGTAGTAGTAGTAGTAGGAGTAGGAGTAGTAGGAGGAGGAGTAGCAGTAGCAGCAGCAGCAGCAGCAGCAGCAGCAGTCGTAGTAGTTTCATAGGAACCTGATTAAGAAGCCCCGGGTCTTTGTTGGGGTTCTTAATATGTAGCCTAATACATTTGGGGTTATAGGGCCAGGGTTTCTTAATCAGGTTCCTACATTAGCAGTAGCAGGAATAGGAGTAGTATAGGAGTAATTAGCAGTAGCAATAGCAGTCGTCGTTAGTATAGCAACAATCGGATCGAAGACGGATCGGATTCCGTACACCCGTCTTTCTACGTCCACGCCGCCCAAGCCTGGATAACATAACATGCGCCGCTGAAAATATTTGTCTAAAGGATCTATAGTTAATGGCGACTGCTGCTTCGCACCCTTCCGCGCCCAATGTGTTTATCTCTCTTCTTCAATAGCCGGTCCCCACAAAGTTCAAACTGTTGAAAGATAGTCCAAACATATAAGGCCAAAAAAATTCAAGCTCTCCCCTGGCTATCTAAGTCATTGCCGGAATATATGCATGTGTGCATGTGTACACATCTCTACATCTATCCAAGTCTGGGTTCTTCTTGGCACCAGCTTGCGTTTGGTTCCCATGTGCTTGGTTCCAGAGTCCAGAGTAGTTCAAGATCTGGCAACCTGGCCTCGTCAAAAACACTGAGGGGATATATTCAGGAGTAGGTCTACCTGACATTATCAAATGCTCATGTTCCCAAACCCCCTACTGCAGTTGTGACTTCTGTCCTTCTTGTCCCCGAGGACAAGCCCGCGCTTCTCGCGCTCACGCAGTGCGAGGCCGTGCCGGACTAAGCGGACCTTATGACATGCATAAGCACTGCAGGCCTATAGTGCTTGCGTGTGTATAACCTTATAGTATAGACTATTTGAGAAGTACTCAGGACAGAGAGAGAGAGGGAGAGCGAGACACAGAGCGAGAGAGAGACAGAGAGAGCGAGAGCGAGAGAGAGAGAGCGCGAGGGGGAAGACCGAGGAGCAAGAGGGAGAGAATAGAGGGAGAAAGGAAGAAACATATAGGGGGAGAGGGAGAGGGAGCGAAACAAAAGAGGAAGAAGGAGAGGCTTCCTACTTGTCTAGACCTTAGGTTGCCCGTCTGTTCACCTAATTGCTTGTCTGTGTTGCTATCAAGCGAAGAATGACATACATTTATGTATGTCCACTAATATAATATATATATATATATATGTTTATCTACTTATTTGGATGGTGATCCTAAAGGTGACCTCTTGTCGTTCGTCCGCGAGGCCCGGTGCCCATAGGCCGGAAAGACTACCCAAAACGATGCAAAGCCGGGTATCTGATGGTCCGAATCACTCCGAACCACCAGGCCTCTAAATTTACAAGGCCCATGACAAAAAGCAAAGTAGCGATGATTCTTGCCATTATGCGAAGGCAAGCAGCGAGACACGAGAGCTTTCTGGCGCCGACCAGGTGGTGGTAATAGTCTGCCAGGGGTCTTGTTATGCCATGTTGGAACTACCCCCTGGAATCGTCAGCGCAGCCCATGCACACAAAAAATGAACCGGAGCGCACAATCAATGAGATTTGTAGTATGCCGCAAGCTTGGAAATGGACAACCTCGTATCTCAACATGCATGTGGCTTGGATGCTGGCACGGATTTGGCCATGAGGACATGTAATGCTTGCTAACTGCCAGGCACCAAGGACAACAACCCCAGGGACAACTGAAGCCCTTAGATCGCCCAAAACGGCCCGGCTCGGCATGACATGCTTTGGGCATGGAGGGTTCGACGACAAGCCCCGCCCCCTACGGTCCTTGACATCCTTGCCCAAGCACAACACCACTCTAAACCTGCCACGGCCCCTTAACCATGAATCTAGTGCGAGGAGCTCTCATTGCGCTCCATCGATCTCCAGCCACAGGGATCTTCCTGCTCGGGCAAACCGTAAAACTTTGAGGAAGACAGGATCAGGTGTGGTTGGCGCTTGTATGCGCTTGTCCAGCACTCGTTACATGTGGTCAAGCAGCTCTCTCGGTATGCCGACTCCGGCTGCTAAAGATGCATCAACTTGGGACATTCGGGAGGATGGCAGCTTGCAACGGAAATGTGAACGGACATGGCACGTGCGGAACCTGCACCTGTGCCAGGATCTCGGTGCTGCTCCGTCTCGCTGCCTGATCGTGCGTTTCCGGTGCTGCTCGGCGTCCGGGCATGTCGAACAAACTCGAGGTTTAAATAGCACATCTTCCAGCTGTCACCCGCCCTTGCGGCCCCAACCTCTGCCATGCACTTGAAAAGGCAACCTTAATGACTGTATCATAGTGTCATAGTAAGTATATGCATACAGATCCACTGTAAGTCTGTGGTGAACATCGTGGCGTGATGGCGCGTGTGCGTGTTAAGTCGAAAGATACGTAGTTAGGAAGTTGTTCTGCAGCTGCTCGTGCACACAATCCTCCGCCGCCATGTGTTACCATCATGGTTATGCTATTGATGATGAATCATACTTCGTATGCGATTATTGACATACTTCATATTGGTATACACTTACAATACACCTCATGGCCTCATAGGAGCCGCCCGGCGGTGGCTGCGTAGCCAGGATGGCCTTCAGCTTCACTGCAGAAGGCCCTGAACATCAGAACGCCCTTAGAGTCCTTGTGTGTTATTGTACCGTCATATTATGAACCCCCGCCGCCCCAAACAAGAACTAACGGATTATACGCATAGCAATTGCCGGAAGAGATCGCACAGAATGGAGCACTCTGCCAGAGGCGGAACCCTGCACAACAGACATCAGAAGCCCGTGGTCGGACTCCGTCAAGCCGCTCCCAAGAGTTCTGTAGCCACGTGTGTGACGTCTTGCAATGCCGGCACTCGAAAACGCAAGCACAATATCGACACCGCTTCGTTTGTTACTTGTCTTCTGCCTGCTTCATAGTGCCCGACACTGCCGTGGCAAGCAAGTACGTCTGAGATTGCCAGTGTGATTCTTGTCCGAAGGCATGCTAGCACTGACGGCTAGTACCACCATGTAGCAGTAATCAGTACAATGAGGAAAGCAACTGTTCGCATTACCACTGCAACAACCATGCCGTCACCGCTCCTACTCCTCGTTGAACCTACTCCATTGACTTTTGCCGCTCAAACGCCTTCCTGTGCCTCACGCACTTAGACTGCCCTTGGTAGCCACATGTGACTCTAAAGACCTCTGCGGGCGAGATACCAAAACTTCAGTCTCCTACCTCTTTAGAGAAATAAAGATGTTGCATGGACAGCATGCCCATCTTCCGAAGACTCTGTCGGACGATCATCAAAATGACCCAGACAGCTGAACCCCATGACTGGCGATAGATTCGCATCTATAGTGACTACGTAGTTCGTGGTCAGCGGCCGGATGGGGCGGCAGCTTGCTCCCTTCAGTTACAGTCAGTTCTGCACGAGGTTCTGTCTTGCTAACACAAGCAACGGCTTTCGGGCTTGAGGCAAGCTTACATGATCTATGATCCCACCTGCTCGGACTACCGTACGCCGTTTACGTCCTATGCCATCCTGTGCCACTCTGTCGATCATTCTCTCCGGCAGGTTTAAGATGCTTGTATTTCGCGACGTCCGATTTAAGTCTTTGATACTCCTGTGGCTAATGTCACGAGATGTAAGACCGCAAATGCGTCACTAACTAGTATATAGGTACGAGTTACGACCACCTCAGCGTCAGCCTTTCTTGCATGGCATCGAGTGAACACCACATTGAATGAAAGGCTCTTTGGCGCAGGAAGTGGCGAAACTTGTGAAACACCCATGAACAGAGCCCAGGGGTTGACCCACTCACCTCTTCATCCATCCCCGTATGTCGCACTTGTCCTCAGGTGGACGGATACCGGACGTCGTCTTCGTGCAGGCGGTCTCGACCGAGACCTCGAGGTGGCGCTGGAGGCATCGATGCCTCAGCAGCCACAGCCATTGCAAAGACGACTTCTGGGCCTGGGCAGGCATCCTCTCTGGGCAGCGGCTCCCGCTGACAGTTGCCATTGCACTGGTCGCTTAGCAGGGCCACGTCTTCCGCTTCACAAACAAATTCTAATGCAGACACTTCAGCATGGATTCGACCTTTCCGTTGTCCTGGGGGATACAGCCCCAATTCCCGGAACATGCGGTAAAATGTCCATGCGGATATGCACAAGGCACTCTGCAATGACACTGAAGCCAACAACAAACATTCCCACACACCCAGGAAGCCGATTACACTGGGAGCACCTTCATCCAACAGTGCGTGTGCAGAAAGGCGCTGCCATCCACCACCCGGAAGAATGTCAATAACAACAGCACCCCAAGTGCACATCGAAGAGGTCAGTATCAGCGTCAGGAGCGAGCCCAGGCAGCGTCGATTCACACAGACACCGAGGCTCTGCGACGCGAATACCGGCAGAGAACCAACGCAAGCGAGGGAGTTGGAAGCCGATGTTAAGATCTGGGCTGTTAGCTCCAAGCCACCAGGGCTGGGGAAAGTCCTTGCCGCTAGCAGTCTCAGTGCCTCCACGCAGAGCAGGCCGAAGACACAGCAGCGAGCCCGGAATAGTGGAACCCGCGCCCTCCCTGGAATATCCAACGTTTCCGGTGCTGGAAAATCGTCCGCCAGAATCTTGCCACTGCCTGGCAAAGACGTCGGCCGCTGTTTCTCCTTACATACTCTGCAAGAGATTCACTCTTGTTCGCCCCAATCATTCCTAACCCAAGACGTCCACAGTTTTCTAATAACACCAAGGCACAGTGGCCGCTTGTTGGCTACCTGCTGCTGCCCGTCGCCTCTCCTGTGCCTCAGTTCTGGTTGGGATTTACAGAAGTCTTGCCAGTTTCAAATCTGTATCCAGAACGCTTCCACTGGTTCTACTAGCTCTACCATACCATCCAGCGCATCCCCTCCTTCCAAACGACATAAAAGAGAGTCCAAGACGCGACTTCCCCCAGCCTCCAAGCAAAGTCCGGATGCGGCCCCGGCTGTGGGGGTGGCGGAATGACCACCATGACAGGGCTTTTTTGGGTTCAGCGCGGGGGTTGCAATTGCTGGGAACTTGTTCTCGCAAGCAGCTGATAGTGCGGGGAATGGCGAAATAAGTAAGAACGATACAAAATTTGATTGAATAGACAAATATGTACAAAAAATACACATCGAAACGTCGAAAAAAAGTTTGGCGAGCACGCATCTTGCAGCATCTTCTTCATGTCATGACCGTGATCAGATGGAGCCAGTTGGACTTGCGGAGAGAAGGAGATGCAGGCTACAGTTCGAGCGCATGAGCACTCGTGGGTGTGACAAACCATAGCTCTGCCAGCCCAATTAAATTTAATGTCTGAAGTTGGTATGGTGCTTCGTGGCTTCGTGCCTGTTTTTTCAGAATTGGATGCTTGCCGGAATTTTCCCAGCCTCGATTCGGTGAAGGTCATCCATGGCATATGTAGCCTCGGTTCGACTATATAAGTTGGACACATATGCGCAACTGAAGATGCCGGCTCGGGAAAAGAAAGTGCCAACGCTGCAGCAGAAAAGAGTTCGTCCGACTCAGCAGGTGTGCAAGTTGATAAGGCTGCTGCCATGTAAGTAAAATCTTCGAGAAGTTCTCGTCGTGTCATGTCATCACGACAGATTCATCAATTGAGTCGAGGGCAAGCTTTTAGACTTGGCGATGTGCTGGTATGGCTGCAATGCAAGTGAGGGCTGCACAGCTTACTCGGAGGCCGGAGCCCATGCCGAGCCACCTCCGCGCAGGACAGCGGCAAGTGCAGAGCGCGCTGGTTGCGCGAATGATGAGCATGCCAGTCAATCCTTAGGAGGGCGCATTCATTGATGCTTTGGGGTTGTGACGTTTTGGGTCTTAAGATTCCAAACCCTACGCCCCATAAACCCAGAACTCGGATTCACAGGCTTTGGAGCTCCACATGAGGCGGGGCAGACGTCTGGAAGCAAGAACCGTCTGCAAAGACCATGCGGAGGAGGTCCAAGGAAATCGTCGCCACTCAGCTATCGTAAGTATGCTCGGTAGGGCAGAGACTGACGCACTTCAATCCTGAACTGCCACAGCGGAAAGCATGATGCAAGCAAGCACCAGTTAGACTTTGCAGACACTCAAGTACGAGAGTTGCAGACAATATATAGCTTAGCTTACGAAAATAATCTGAGAACAGTTGCAGGTGGCCGCCGAAGGCGGACAAACTTCGGCTAAGCTACTGAGACTTGCTCGGCAAGTCCACCAGCAGCTCTGCAGGCCTCAACGCTCCAAAAAGCTCTGGCGACGAGACTTTATAAGGGCTGGACTTGCCTCACAATAGGCCAATCTTTTGAATAAGGTAAGACCTATTATGGTTTCTACATATAACATACCCACCCCACAACAACAGGCCGCATGAATCCCCCCATTCAAAAACAGCTCGAGCAACAAAATCTCAACAATCTCGAACCGACAGCGAATGCGAAAGCCTCCGCTTGTTGATGCGATCCTAAGGGCTGCATCCAGCAGAGAACGGTCAAAGTTTAGAAACTTGACTTGTGTTAGTTTGAGTTCTCAAGAGAGATCCGTAAGTTTCGCAGCTGCCTACACATGCGTATGCGTGGATGGACAACTTATATTCACAGACAACATCCTACAGTGTTTTTCTGCAGCCCTACAGATGCACAACGATAGCATATTCTACTTTGTTTGCTACGTGTTCGAGCTGAGTTCAAGAATCGCATGCGCCTTTGCACATTCACATTTTCAGTCGCCGTGGAGTACGTCCCCTCAGCTCCTTGCACTCTTTCGAGCATCCGGGCCATGGCCAGACGACGCTCGCCAGTAGAATATGCAAGCTGGATGTCGATCACCGCCTGACGTCCGAGCCGCATTTTTCTCAATGCTGCGCTTGATCCGAAGAAATGGACGTTGAGCAAGATCGCTATCACTACAGTAGCAGCTGCCTATCAATTCAGCGATCTCCTCCACACACGATGCTCGCAACAGGTTCTGTGCATGAGACCTGAGTACCGGGAAGGGTGGAACGGATAAACATGCAAAAATAACACGGCGGGCCGTGCAAGCTGCCTGATTGTTGTTGCTATATTGCACTAGGACCGCCAGGACTCGCCACGCTTTTGACGACATATCCTCAGGCCTTGAACTCCGCCCCCCTCTCCCTTCCCCTCCCCTGTGGGCGCTGAAGGATTCCAGAAATACTTTCTGAGCACAGGTAATGCAAATCTGCTGTACATAGAACTTCATAGAACTGCTGCAATTTATAGTACATGCCTTCATAATAATAGACATGTATGCGCTGCAGAAATTCGGGGGCAGGTGCGTGTCAAATTCTCATTATATCAAACGAGATGCAGGAATTCGAGCTCAAGCGAGCATATACAGAGTCTTCGTCTTTGCTAGGACTGCTAGGATGATACAGTATCTGTCTCAAGTTCAGGACAGCAATGACAATGGGAGTAGCACCATGGAATAACAGAACACAGAAAACCACAAGAGGCTATAGGGTCATGCATTGCTTGTATCGGTTCACATCTTTGTTGTTCATATCCGTGGCCATGACCGATACTAACAACTTCACGACATCAAATGGATGATTTACCAACAGCAACCCCACCCACCCCACCCCACCCCCTGGTTGTACGGCCCACCAGCTCTCTGATCCCCGGGGTGAAGTCGTGAACCAGGCCCCTAACTGTCTCTCTTCTTCTTCTTCCTTCAGGCTAAAGGTCTCTCTCCCTCCTCTCCTCCCAACCTATAAAGTCAGCTAAGGCCTGCGGATGGATGTTGAGAGATATAGGTATCTCCTGCTCAGGCTGAAGAGTGGCAAGTTCCCGCTTTCGACACGAGCACACAAGTTGGCTACATTGAGACCTCATCGGGAACACCCGAGCTTTCCAGACATCGTCCCGCATCATGCACTCAAAGCCTCGGGCTCGTCTTCACCCAGGCATTACATCGTCTTATCTCAGTCTCAAAGTCATAAGAGGGGATGCTCCCTCGCAAGGCCTGGGACTCTGAACTTCTGTGCACGAGCCCAGGCTTCGACCCCGACGGATGCCCGGAGCTAAGTGGTTGTGTCCTGATGCATGAGGCTTTCAAAGTCTGCATCTGCTCCCCACATCCTCGGCAGCTTTTGGGCTACTCTTCTCTGCTTGGAAGCCTGTTCTGAAACTGCCTGGCAGACCCACGTTCTCGGACAAGCCTGACGTCATGGGCCCCATCCAAGCCTTGCCACGTCCATGACATTAGTCTGTGGGCCTTGGATCTAAAGGGCCTGTCCAACTGCCGCCAGGGCTTGTCGGGTTTCGCTATGTCAGAATTGCGCAGAGTTTGGAGCCTGTCGCCTTTCGCTTATAGGCAACTCTGAAAAAATTCGCAAAACCCAGCCACAACAAATCTGAACCATCCGGTGCCGGTCCAAGCGGCACTTTGGTGATCCAAGGGCTCTGCATCAGTGGTCTAAACGTCTGTATGCCTCGTCAGGCGTGCTTGATCGGCTTCACAATTCTGATTGCTGATGCTCCTTGTCGGTGGATGGCCCCAATCGCTTTCGACCGGCACGGGATAAAGCTGCCGGCAGCAACAAGTCAATAGAGCAAAGATCTCACGTGCGGAGTGAGGTCAGCTATCACATCGCTTCTGCTGCTGCTGCTGTTGTGGTTCGGCAGCCTTCGTCACAAAGCGGGTGCGTGAACAACACACGATGCACGGAGTCTTGGATTTCCACCAAGCTGCAGCAGTCTGTTCGCAAGTCGATGAGAAGCCCCAGCCTTGGAAAGGCACAAGTGCGGAGAGTACGATTTGACACACAAATACCATGTACAGAGAACAGCATGGGACCCAATGAACAAATACAGCCGTACATGTATGCATCTGCAACGTACGTCTATGCAGATGCAACGGGGGTTGAACCTATCTACACATGCATGCCTGCCTACCTACCTGTCCATCTATCGTCATCTGTCTACCGATGTCTCGCATTGCTTCTGCTTTTGTTGCCGAAACTGTTTTGAGTCTCTGCAGGGTGCCAACCATGGCAATTTCACTCCCAGCTGACTTAGCCTGTGCCGTGGGAGGATAGCGGATCGTGTATAAAACTGTTCACCCACGTATGTACATATGCTGAATATGTGTATATATATATATACACACATACAGACACCTGTGTATATATAAATATAAATATATTTATATATGTAAAGAAAGAGAGCTAGATATGCTGAAGAGCCAACGATCGCACACAAACGGATTGTGCGACCATAATGTGGGAGTCGGCCACAGATCAAACTCGAACATCTCTGATCTTCATCATTCCGAAAGGATGCTCCGATCACCGGAGGAGCGCACCAAATAGCTGGCGATCGCTCCACAAAACACCGAACGAAAATATCCGACGAGATATTCCCCGCGAACGGAAGACAAAGCGACGAGGAGTCAAAAGTCTTCGATCGGATCCGTAGGTGAATCCGAAACGACTTCGATCGGCTCCTCAAGAACAGCAGCACACCGAAAGGCAGCGAAAGCCCTGGGCTTGGGCCGCGGAGCACCGCGCGGAGCGGGATCTGCTCTGTCCACACTCGAAACAGACGAAGGCTGAAGATCCGCAGCCGGCTTCGCCTGGGGCTTGCGAAATTGTCACAGTGTGCCTCCACCTCGACCGCGGCATTATCAGGCACGAGCAGTCGAGGCGAACGAGATGGATCGTAGCCACCTTGAGTACAGGGGGGCCAGCAGGATCGGCCGGCGCCTCTCGGAGTAAAGGAAGCCCACCGCGCGGCATGTGGATCCCTTTTGGGCCCCGCTTCGGCGGCGAACTGGACCGGCCGAGCTACAGCATCGCGGTCAACAACCCCTGTTTTGCCGTGCGGCTCCGCGCCTCGGCGCAGAAGGACCGAGAAATCCGAGTCCGACCGGTATCCTATGAACACCCAGTGTCATTCACATAGGTGGCCGAAATGTCGAATATGACCGGTCATGTGAAGGGCTGAAAAGCGGAGTGGAACAGGGCTCGACTTG